ATTTTATGATACATTGTGGTAAACTGGCAAAACTCAGATTGATATGTTAAACATCTTCTACAAACCAATGCAAAAAGTTGGGTTGGTTACGTCCCAGTGATGTCTAAGGCTCCATGGATAATCTACCAGAATCGCATCACTTAAAAATAATTATATCAATTAAACTTCCTTGAGGGAAATATGCTTAGAATTTTTAAATCCTATAATCTGTTAAGATTTAAGTATGTGAAGTGTTTTTATCACCACTAAGCTAAATTACCTATATATTCAAAATTGTATTCAATTGCAAATAATCCCTAAACAATGGTTAGAAAGACAATACAGTATTTCTAGAAGCTTGTCTAGACATTATATAAAAATGCTTGAATTGTAAACTTCATAGGTAACTTACACACTATATATCATCATTATAAATTTATATGCTTCATTAATTCTTCTCGGATTTGGTTGTATACATTTCATGTATAGAAAAACCAAAATAGGGACAAAGACTCTCAGAAAAAGCTTGGTTATGAAACAGATTGGAATTCGGGTTTTAGTCATCAAAGATGTGATAAACAGCACTGGGTATTAATGCAGAAAACAGACTGAGCTTTTTAATGGGACATCAAATAAGACTTTATTAGCATCTATTAGGTTCAACCCAAAGCTGAGGAAATAGCATTAATGAGCATCATATATCAGTCTGTCTGTTATTAGATAACAGTATCCCTTAAAACTAGCAAGCCATATAGTACTTTATACTTTTTTACCTTTATCTTTAGAATTAGCTGACATTCTATTGTGTTACACTGGCCTTACTATTAGTAATAGTGAACCAATTTATAAACCCATTAGTGACACTTTTTCCAGAAGATAAAAACAGTCAAAATTATCTGGCAGCAATTAATCTTAATGGCTGTATGCAGTAAACAGCAATGGGCTAATTCCAGCTCTGTCAGCCCCATCAAACAATCCCGCATTAGGCAGCTTTTCAGTGATCCATTAAGCATATTCAGAACAACAACAAATTCAATGCTGAAGGCATATGCACTAAACATTACAACAGTGATCTTCTGAAGCCATCATTATCTCTTAAATAGTACTTCCCCCATGTATTATCATTATGCTGTACATTAGAAATACTTTGATTAAACTCCCTTAATTCATAACAGACAGCTGCAGACCATTTATGCAGTTAATCTCAACACAACAGCTATTGAGGAAATATAACAAATGAAGGCTGTAAACTGGAAGTCATTACTATGAAAGATACTGGTTTTCTAGCCCTCTTAGAGCAGAGTGCATCATAAGGGTGGGTTTTGGGCCTACAATAATGGGGATGAAACCGTTAACGACCTTCCACTTTCCTGTCACATCTGTCCCTGGGGTTGTCGTGCTCTAGGCTGGGCATGTGACCAGTTTAGGCTGAGCCATGTGTCCCACACATTGACCAATGTAAGGGCTCCAGGAGAACCCAAACTATGGTTAACTTCTATTTTCTGGCTTTGGTATTAAGAAGTCAAGGTTTTGATGGAATAGGAATAATCTCATTGATTTCACTGAATCGTTACAGTAAAGCGCTGAAAAACTATTCTGATTGTACACTAATGATATCATCATTAGCAGTAGTTTTACATTTCTTTTCTAAAAAGTGGTGTCTTTTAAAGTTTAATTCATAATAATTGAGTTTACAAACGTAAAAAAAAATTTCTACTGAATTTCTTCTGTAAACTTTCTTTCCCATGTGATATCTTCACTTATCAATTCAGAAAAGTTATGCATGCCAAAAGAAAAACCTCCTAAATTCAAGGAGCCACACCCCAATTTTATGTTTTGTGGAATAAAATATGCACTGGCTTAATCTGATGAACAAGAAAACTGTGTCGATTTCTCCACACTACATCTTCACAGAATCTTTCCTTTTTGCAGGTAGAGAGACCATAAACACGGGCATGAATGAGCTCTATGTGCCTGGCATTTATTTTTTTCTTTATATAGGGTTTATTTCAAAGTCCTAAACCACAGACACCGTGTCTACTTTTTGATGAAACGGTCAGGTAATTAGAACATAAATTTAGAGTTCCCTTGCCAACTCCGACAGTACTTTCAGCTTTTGGGGTTAGCATAAATGAATTAAATATTGATTCAAAATATAAAGTACTGTCATTATAAAGCAATAAGGGTCTAGCCTTCAGAGGGAAAGACCAATCGCCATAGCAGTTTACGTTGAATGTCTGAGGAGATTTCCACAATTGGGGCTAGATTGACCCATCCCTCCAAGGTGCCCATGAACACAAGCATATTAACGTTTGCTGTTCAGTCCCCTTAGTCACCTTTGGTGCTGTAGAGATCCCTCCCTACTGTCCCCCACCCGCCCTCCCACTTCTCGAACATAGTGCTTTGAAAAATGGCAACTCTGGGGAGCTTTTCTTAATTTTTTTCCCCATACATTTGTTTGAAAGGCATAGGTATTATGACTGCTGGCTGTATGTATCCTTTGTTTCTCAGAACTTGCATTTATAACAAAGCTCTGGCGAATCCCTTCTGGACACCTGGGCATGCTGATACTGATTTCTGGCCCATAGTACAGTTTAAACCAATCAGGATTTTCACCTATTTTGAAAGACCTTCCCAATCTGAGCCTAACCTTCCTGCCATGTGAGTTATAAAGCACTACTACTAGTTGTTGAGGCACAAATAAGTCTGAGAAATAATGTCACTCCTCAGAAATTCACAATGCATGTCAGTATAGTAAAACCTGTGAGAAGTTCTAGAGAAAGGAAACCTGTTTAACTGTGATTTTCGGCGTGCCCAAATCTACTTGGCTGAGTTTTTTTTTTTCTTTTTAATAGAACAACTGTTAATATCTTGTAGGGCACTAATCTTTTAAAGAATATATTTTGAGACATGTTTTTCTAAATTCCTACTTGTGGTATTTATGCCTCAAAATTGATCTGTGGCAGGAAAGAACAAATTTGCAAATTAATTAATTGTGCTTTCTTCTGATTTTTGTTTGTTAGCTTTAATTTCGCTTACAGATACTCCACTGTTGAAAGTGGCCATCAGCAAATGAAATTAGGTTTAGAATTCACAAGCTAGTTTGACTTCTATTTTTGCCATTTATTCCAATAATCTAAATTCAGTAAACAGTGTTCCTATAGACATTTTTCTGATTGAGACATAAGGTTTTCTTCAACTAATGATTAGATTTTTGTAACTGATGTTAAACATGTGGATAATTGATGAATGTGCTCATTTTTCCTGCTGTGGAACATTATCTTTAGCTACAACACAACGATATTTAGAGTTCTATCACATTTAGAGTTCTATCTAGATATATTTACATCTATCTATATCTGTTCTCTATTCAGGAAACTCCCAATTATGAGTAAGTAACTTCTATATGCTCATTTGAAGTTCGTTGCTTGGGATCTCAGATTACATTTTTCCAAAGGAATTTATTACAACTTGTCATTACAGTCTAGATTTAACCTATGAAAGTCTGTTTAATACATAGCAACTGCATTGCTGAAGTGCTAGGTACACTAAGGAAATAAGCCAAATGTCAGCATGGTTGCCATACTGATAAGTTAAACCAAGTAGAAAAATAATAAGGTGATAAAATTGACTAACAGATCCTTTAAAAAGTTTGGTCTAAAATGCTGATGCTTGTAGAAACATAGGTTTAATTTTAAAAGATGCAACACAGACCAAGACTTGTGTGTACGTGTGCGCATGAGTGTCTATGTGTAGCTTTGGCAATATTTCCAGGGACCCTTCCAAACTCATGTCGTCCTTACCATAGCCTTCCATGATACAGACGCATCACAGCAGGTCTCATTCCAGGAGAAAGGGGTGAGACTCCTCTGTGGCATATACGTGAAACGAAGATAGAGAATAGGAAAAGATTGTTCTCTACAAAATCTAGGCAGGAGCTGGCAGCATGAAGGAGAGGAGAAAGTCATTCTAAGTATGTGTGTGTGTGTGTGAGAGAGAGAGAGAGAGTGAGTAAGAACAGGGAGGAGGGGAAGAGAGAGAAAAGGGCAGGAAAAGAGCAAACACCTTGGATGGACTTAGGTGAAGTGCGAGTAGTGAAACAAAGAAAAACTTGGCGTCCTCTGCACCTGTGAAGTAGTTTTCTGAAGGTGGACATTCTAAGAAGGAAGTCAGGAGTGGGGGAGTAGGCTTGCTACTATATGTCTGGTGTCTCGTTTGTCTTGGTTTTGCCTCAAACCTCTATATAACCACCAAATCCCACATTGTTGTTGACTCCTGTTCTAGAGCACAGTTCTGGTGACTAAATTCTGACTTCTTTTCCTTAGTTTGTTGTCTGCTTCTCCACTGAGCTGGTGCTTGGGCGTTCCCAGTCTTGTCAGCCATTTTCCCCAGAAGGATGAGTCCTGTATCCTGGACTACCCCATACCTCGACAGCTGATGCTGACCCTTCCCTTTCCCACCCAGCTCTCGCCTCCTCTTGTTCCTCACTCTCACCTCTGTGGAGCTCCTGACATGCTTCCTGCCATTCTGGGTCCTCCAGGAGCTTCTGACCATGTGGGCTTCCCAACCCCTCCTTTACACGGCACCTACAGTCCTCTTAACAGATGCCCATAAGGCCTTGTCAGCACTCCGAGTCCCATGGCTGACAAAGTCTGTGTATTTTTGCAGGACCCACCCTCTGCCAGCCCCTACTATTTTGTTTCCCACATCCTGAGCTCCAACTCTCTGGATCTCCTGTCTGTTCGTAAATGCACCATGTTGACACTTAACCTCCGTGTCTTTGCCCATCCCTGTTCCTTTCTCCCAACTTTGTTCTTATTAACTGACTTTTACTCATCAATACCAAGTTCATTTATTATGTCTTTTGAAAATCTTGGCCTCTAGCTAAGCAAGATGCTCCTACTCACTGAATTATAATTCACTGAACTGTAATTACTTTCCTTTCTCACTGAACTGCATGAGAACAAGAATGATGTCTTTCATTGTGTAGCACCAGCAAATAACATACTTCTTGGAACATAGTAGGTACTTAAAACATCCTCATTGAATGAATGAACCAATATACAGAAATGTCACCTAGAGTGACGGCTCCTTTTTTCTAGCATAATGTAAAACTGAACAATTTTAAAATGGTTACCAGTTAGTTATTAGGTAACAGAAATTAACTATATTCTATAGAGAACAGGATATTCTTAGGATCCCTGTGAAAAGATGAACAAGTGCTGATCTGCGTGTGGTAGGATTATAGGTGATTTTGTTTTACTTTTATGTGCATGAATGCATTGCCTAAATTTTTAGAAAGAACATGTGTCATGTTTATTATAATATAAACAAGAACATGAATCCTCAAAAAATGAAGTGTCTCCTTAATGTGCTTCATAGCTTTACAAGGAAACAGAATACAAGGGACACGTTGCTGCTGTTTTTGCGGCCTCTGCTCTCTTCTGCAACCCTTGCTTCTCTGTTTCTCTCCTCTACCTTTTTTTTTTTCCTCTTTCAAAACGTCACTGGTGGCAGCCTTGGCCTGAACTTGGTGAGATGTGGTTCACATTTGCACAAAGGTGGAATGCTTCCTATTGGATATTTCAAGTATTTACGCGTCAGTATCCTTATTACCACATCTCTGCTAATCTGGACTCCTGTCCATCATTGACCAGCTCCTCCTCATGGTCAACGTGTCCCAAAGTCGTGGAGGCAAGGATACTGGAGAGGATTTCTAGGGAAGCAGTTTATCCTAAAAGGGGAATGTCAGAGTCAGTCATTTATTTGCTTCCAGACACATGATACCAGCTTCTCCTAAGGAGGTTGAGTGGCTGGTTCACCAAACTAAAATGAAGGAACCCAGCCAGACTCCCACATGCCTCCCTCCAACAGTCAAGTGTGTCCTGAGCCATCCTCTGAAGCATGAAAGCAACACCTCTGTCCACGATGGGGCTGAGAAGAGTCCACCCCATAAAATGTTGTTGATGGGCTAGTCCTTCTGAGTTCCACTCAATGGGCCTTTCATTCCTATGAAAGTTAGCAAATCCTCTTAAATAGCAATGCAATATTGAAGGTTTTTTTCATGGGTCTACTTATACATACTGAGGAAAATTGGTACACTAGTCTAATAGTATTAAAGATGATCTAGAAAAAGACATACTGACACTTGGAACACACTATCCTTCTGCATTCATAACAGCATCAGGGGACTGTGGTCTTCTGTCTTGATCATGAGGTTAAACTGGCCAAATCAATTAAATTCAACAAACAGCTAGTGGGTGCCTAATAATTTAAGGTACCATGCTGGGGGTTTGGAGAATGCAACTGGAATGAAACATGATCCCTGTCTTCAAGGTGCCTAGAAAGGAACTGTGATATAAATGCTCTTCTCCTGGACTATAGCTCAGCACAAAAATAATGTTTGCTTCTATTCATTAGATTATTTTATTTTAGCTGATGTTTATTCTCATCCCCTTCTTAAAAATTTCAGTAACTTGGCCAGGTGTGGTGGCTGACGCCTGTAATCCCAGCACTTTGGGAGGCCGAGGCAGGTGGATCACGAGGTCAGGAGATAGAGACCATCCTGGCTAACATGGTGAAACCCTGTCTCTACTAAAAATACAAAAAATTAGCCAGGCATGGTGGCGGGCACCTGTAGTCCCAGCTACTTGGGAGGCTGAGGCAGGAGAATGGTGTGAACCTGGCAGGCGGATCTTGCAGTGGGCCGAGATCACGCCACTGCACTCCAGCCTGGGCGACAGAGCGAAACTCTGCCTCAAAAAAAAAAAAAAAAATCGGTAACTTGCAAACTGCATTATCCATACATTTTAAGCAAACTTCTATGTGTTCATTGGTGCCATTCATTAATGTCTTCACCCAACAAATATTTATTTGATGCTACTATGTGTCAGGAATGTTCTAGAAGCTTAGAGATGTAGTGGTGAACATGATATGTGTTCAACACACATGCACACATTTTTATTACACAGTTGACCCTTGAGCATCACAGGTTTGAAGTTCACAGGTCCACTTACCGATGGACTTTCTTCCACCTCTGCCGCTCCTGAGATAGCAAGACCCACTCCTCCTCTTCCTCCTCCCAAGCAGCCTACTGAACGTGAAGACTACAAGGATGAAGACCTTTATGATGATCCACTTCCACTTAATGAATGGTAAATGTTATTTTCTCGTCCTTATGATTTTCTTAATAATATTTTTGCTGTAGCTTTTTTTTACTGTAAGATATAATATATAATACATATGACACACAAAATATGTGTTAATTGACTATGTTATTAGCAAGGCTTCTGGCCAACAGTAGGCTATTAGTAGTTAAGTTTTTGGAGAGTAAAAAGTTGTAGATGGCTTTTGGACTGAGGAGGGTTAGTGGCCCTAATCTTTTCATTGTTCAAAGGTCAACTAGATAGACATACATATGTGAATATGTACATATATGTATATGTGTGTATATCTATACATGTCTGTATGTATATGTACGTACACGTATATGTATATATGTGTGTATATATGTAACACACATGCACTCAAACATGCACACATAAATCTTTCTTATTAGAAATTAATAAGAGCTGTGAAGAGAAAGCAAGCAGCACGAGAGGTCAAGAGACTCAGGAGTTCTTCTGAGATGCGGTGTGGCAGGGAAGCCTTTCTGAAAACTTGGCATTTGAATGGAAGCTTACAAAGGTCTTGAAGGAGACCACCAAGCCAGGCTTCCCATCAAGTGCAAAGTCCTGTAGCAGAATGAGGTGGGGGCATCTGGAGAGCACCAGAAAGGCCCATGTGGCGGTGGCAAAGGGGCTGAAGGATGAGTGGTGGGTGTGAGATGAGGGCTGACCCGGAGTCAGGCTCCAGACCAGAGGGGCTCGTAAGCCAGGGTGAGTAGTATGAGCTACTTTCCAATTGTGGAGAGCTTTGAGTCTAAAAAAAATTTAATCTGACTTTCATTTAAAAAAGATTACTCTGACTACTTAGTGGAAAACATCTTGTAAAATAAGTTAAAGGAAATGATTAATATCTGCTCCATTATTTCAGTCCGAGGTCCAAATTATTTTCACAACCATACTAACTCTTTCCCAGTTTTAATACATTGACTGTAATTTGTCAATACAGTTACTGTTATCAAAGTGCAATTTCCACCTAGAAGATATAAGTAAAAACCACATAACAACTAAAGGTTCCCAACGGTGAGCTCCTGTCGCTAGAGGTGTACAAAGAGCTGATTCACTGCTAGGGCATTGTAGGAGTAATTTCTACCTTTGGGGACACTAAACTTGGATACCTCTAAGATCTTGTCTTTTTTGAGAGTTGCTAATTCTCTGGATTTCTTTGCCTTCTATTTAATAATATAGATGGCACACGATTCTGGGTTTAAGATAAGACATGGAGCGTTTAGCGGATATTGTGTTGGGCTCTCCACATCTCGTTAGGACTCAAACACTCCTTCCATCAGCTGCTGGGCATGGCGGTAGCAGATCAGCTGCCCGTCTCTCCCGAACAGGTCTCTGGCTGGAGAGAGCAGCCTAGCGCCTCTTCCTGAGGAATCCTATATCAGACTTTGGTTAGTGTAGGGGAATAAAGACCTGACCCTCTTGTCTCAGCTGGGGACCGCGTTGAAGGGCTTTTATCTCCAGAGCTCCGCAAGGTCAGCTGGACTCTTTTGAGGCCGGCTTCTCCCTCCCAGTCCTGCCTTGTTCCCATTCCTTCCTCCATGTGGGTCCCCATAGGTATCCTCACTCAGCCTCCTGCCCCATAAGCTCAGGTTCTGTGTCTGCAGCCTGGGAAACCCCAGTAGAACTATTGTGTAAGAAAATAGGCCAGTCGCAGTGGCTGGTTCCTGTAATCCCAGCACTTTGGGAGGCCGAGGTGGGCGGATCACGAGGTCAGGAGATCGAGACCATCCTCGCTAACATGGTGAAACTTGTCTCTACTAAAAATACAAAAAATTAGCTGGGCATGATGGCAGGTGCCTGTAGTCCCAGCTACTTGGCAGGCTGAGGCAGGAGAATCGCTTCAACCCAGGAAGTGGAGATTGCAGTGAGCTGAGATTGCACCACTGCACTCCAGCCTGGGCAACAGAGTGAGACTCCACCTCAAAAAAAAAGGAAAAAGAAGAAAAAAAAGAAAATGCCTTTAATGTCATGTATGCAGAAGCCCAGGGCTCTTGTTAGAGTCTTGAAGGGGCCATCGTCACGTTTGCCTTGGGGGACTACCCGCCAGCGAGCTGTCTCACACTGTGTTCAGAGAAAGGGGCTGCTCTGGAAATTTCCAACCATGCTCCATGGAGGGATCAGTGTGTGCACAGTGCTGGGCACACCTCGGTAGCTCAGTAAATAGGGACTAAAAATTAAAAACATAAACTGCAAACCTTTACCCTGTCCTTGGATTTGGAAGGCCCTGTAGATCATTCTGAGCCACAGAGCACACGTGGGCGCTGGGGACAAGACCAGCTCTAGAGGTGAGGGATGACCTCTGCAGATTCTCTGTCAGAGGGCTATGTGAGAAAGAGATAAAACAGGCCTATAGTCCTGCCACATGCTCTGCAAACTGCAAAGGAAAACCAGGCTATCCAGCAAGGTTGACCGAGAAAACAGAGCAGCACTGTTACAGAAATTCAGAAATCATTTAAAAGACAGAAAACGTTACTTTCTCAAATATCGTGAGCAAATGCTGCAAAGCATGACTTCACCTACCCCCAATTTTATATCTTCCTCTGATATTTTATCATCATACTTTTGTGGCTTCCTCTGAAGTGTTTTGATAAGATAATTTTTTTTCCAGGTATCTTTCATATGCATCAGCTTATTGGCATCAATGAGTTAGATAATACATTTAGCTACAATACAGAACTACATTAAACATAATATGTACGGTATAAAGGTCACTGGAACCAAGTTGACATTTTATTGTATTTCAGCATAAAAATACAGGGAAACTTTTGTGGACATTATTATTAATTTGAATTCTGTACACGCAAAGGCATCCAAATATACTGTCTTAAAAGAGTAAATGCTCAGTCAATGCACAATAATTTTTGGATCAAAGTTCATTACCTCCATGCTGTCCATGAACTGGGTGGGCCACTCTGACCATTACGTTTTTCCAAGAGGTGAAATGGTTCAGTGGCCCAGGCTTGGGAGGTTCAGCTGGGTTCAGATCCCGGTCTTCTTCTCCCCAGCTGCATAGCCTCAAGCAAGTCACTTAGTTTTGACGGCTCAGTTTCCTCATCTGTAAAATGGAGATGGAAAGCATCGTACCTAACTTATAGAGTGGTTTTGAGAAGTTAATATACATCAAACACTTTGAACAGTGTCTGGCACGTAATAAGCTGTAACTAGCTGTTCTTATTCAAATGGATTTTCTCCCCTGAAAAAAATGCATTCAAGATATTTTGAGGCAGCCTGTGTCCCATGTACCAGACATGGTTTCTCCCATTTGGCAATGTCACTGAAATGATATTTGAGGACCAGGCATTGTGCCAAGGTAAGGCAGAGATCCACTACCCATGCAAGTGTCCATGGGTTTTCTGCAATTTCTAGCTATGGGATTCATTTATCACAGCTTTGGGGAAATACTTTACCTATTTTATTCCTCTTGTCTGTAAAATGGACACAAAATACTTGCCTATTTAGAGTTCAGTGCAAAATACTTGCTGAATAATTAGCTTACACAGTGTCTAGTATGAAAGAATATTGGGGCCGGTCATGGTGCCTCACACTTGTAATCCCAGCACTTTGGGAGGCCGAGGCAGGCAGATCACCTGAGACCAGGAGTTCCAGACCAGCCTGGCCAACATGGTGAAACCCCGTCTCTACAAAAATACAAAAATTAGCTAGGCATGATGATGGGTGACTGTAATTCCAGCTACTCGGGAGGCTGAGGCGGGAGAATTGCTCGAACCCAGGAGGTGGAGTTTGCAATGAGCTGGGATTGCACCCTTGCACTCCAGCCTGGGCGACAAAGAAGACTCTATCTCAAAAAAAAAAAAAAAAAAAAAAAAAGAAAAGAAAAAAGAAAAAAAGAAAGGATATTGGAGGTTGGAGGTTGGAGGTGAAAAGTAACCTTTGTTACCATCTGCGCTGGAGTTTGGCATACTTCACGAGGGGCTTGCAACAATCTGTTGAAGCGCTATTATTGCATCTGTACTTGGGCATTGACAGGTTGGTCTTATCCACTGGATCCCAGTCATGCTGTAAACGGGGCTTGCTTTGGAGTCTGTCAGACCCGGCTTAGACCCAGGCTCTGACAAAGTGGGTGAGTTATGCAGCTATTCCGTGACATCTAATACCTTATCCCCAAGGTCTGCTGTGAACAGGAAGGAGGCGTCAAATTTGCAGTGCCTGATGAGGTGAGGCCAGGACCCAGGAACTTCTATTCCCTCCCATGCTCAGAAACAGTAAGTGTTCTTCTATCTGCAAAGCTAGATGCTTAGCACATCCTGGGTACTTTACTCATGATTGCTAAACTTGAATTTGTGAGAAGTCATTTCAAAAGTCAGATCTAGGACCAAAAACACAATATCTGTCAACATGAACTATAGATCACAGTTTTCCTCCAGCCCAGGAGTCTCCTTTCAGTAATCGCTTCTTCTCCAAATGTCTTCATTCCCTAAATAAAACAGAGGTAAGAGATTTGTTCATTTCAATTCCCACAATATAGCTTACAGTCAAGGACCGGAAGAGTTTTCCAATTTTAGGTATGTTATTTCTCTGTTCTCTGAAATGGGTATGATACTAAAGAACTTGCTAGGATTTAGTGGAAAGTACTTTCTCAACATTTGGACTGTGCATTTTATTTGAATCACGTCTCTCACATTCAAATTTGTTAATGTTAACATCAGAGAGTAAATGACTAGAGAGTCAGCACGCATGTCCACAAAGAGATACTCTTACGGGCTCTGGGGGGATATAGTCATTATAACAACATCCAAGGGCAGACAGGAACATTTATAGTCATGGATTAATTATCCTTTTCATGTCTCAAGTTTACATCACTGTGAAAATTCTTCCTCTAAGGTTAGGTGGCAGCTAATGTGAATCCTAACTCAGGTGCTGGATATATTTATTACTTTCTTTCTGGTATTTATTACTGGTCTTTCTTTACTGTTTCTACACAAAGTCGAGTGGACATGGACATCCAGAATACTATACGTTCTGAAGCAATAAAATCTAATA